GTTTTTCTCCAGTACCAGGAACCGAACTCACGACCTTGCGCTTGCCAGGCAGGCGCTTTTGCCGCTGAGCTAAATCCCCAGCCCCTCTCCAATCCATCTTTGAAATTCAATTCCTCAGTCATTTCCTCCTGACCTACCCAGCCATAGTCCTTATTTCCCCTTCAAGGACCCCAGAGCTTCCACTCCACACCACACTGCACAAGTTTGTTTGCTTGTCTGTCTCCAACCAGCTCTTTGCGAACAAGGCTTTATTTTATTCATTTTTACATTCTTTGTATCTAGCGTAAACTTACAGTAAGTGCCTGAGGTTTGTTGAAGGGATATTTTATAGGTACTTTAGGTTGCCCAAAGTTTTAAGGGGACTCCCACACACAAGATAGCTGATGATTTGTGTGCTGTGATACCTTCTGGAAAGATCCTGGTATTTCTGTTTGTTTTGTATTGCCAGTGTTTTAGTTAGCCATTAAACAATTATTTATTAAATGCCCTCTGAGTTTTAGGACCTGTGCCATTTTTAAAGATCAAGAAGCATTACATGGCCGAGCGTGATGGCCCATGCCTGTAATCTCAGCACTCTGGGAGGCTGAGGCATGAGGATGGAAAGTTTGAGCCCAGCTTGGGAAATTTAGCAACTTAGTGAGAACTTGTCTCAAAATAAAAAAAATAGAAATGGTCTGGAGATGTAACTCAGTGTGAAGGCTTTGGGTTCAATTCCCAAAAGAGGTACAGCCCTGGCTTCCAAGTAGGACACTCTCCAAAAGCGTTGGAACTGGAGTTAAAATAGGAAATAATTTTTGAAATAAGATCCTGGGAGATGTGACTAGTTTAGCCATCAAAGGAAAGTTTAAATAACTCTGAGTAATCTTAAAAGGATCCCTCAACCATCCAAGCCCCCAAAAGGTTTAGCAAAGTGGCTACAGATAACAGACCGAATGACATGACCCAGACCTGCCAATTGGTGGCAGTGCTTGCCCAGGGATGGAGATTTACTGGTTCAGGACATTAAAATGCAAGCAATTTTCAAACTTTACTCCAGAGATATAGTAATAGTAAAAATGCTACATGGTAGACTTTCTCAGTTTTCAGAAAAAGAAGTAAAGGAATTTGCTTTTGGAGATAGAGTCTTGCTACATATCCTAGGCTGGACTCTAACTCACAATCCTCCTGCCTTAGTGCTAGGGTTAGAGGCAGGTGGCACCATGATAGGCTTCTCTCAACTTTCCTAAGCTTTTGTGTCTGCTTTGAGATGTCTACCCAGGTGCAAATATAAATAGAACACTTAGGAGTGAGCTGAGCATGTTAAATTCCATGATTTATTTTTTCATGGCCATGCAATCTTGGAATTGATTTTTTTAACTGATTAAACCAAATATTTATTTGCATTTCATGATACTCTGGAAACAAAACAACGGTATTGTGATCTGTGTGGCGGGGAAGGGTGCATTTAGATATTGCACAATAGTAGAACAGTTTGGTTTTTTGTTATGAAAATTTGTTTTATTTTCTCATAAAATAAAAAAAAATTTTAATCTATTAACAGCCTGCAGAAAGGGAGTCATCCCACGGGCAGTCTTCATCTGAGTCACTGGGGCCCATGTACTAGCACACAGCATGGTAGTGAAGTGCTCCCAAATGATTCTCCTCCGCTGTACAAAGCCCAGCTCCATGCTTGGTCCCTGCTTAGCAGATGTCCCATCTTTCCAGCCTGTGGCCCCAGCACCAGCATCACACACTCAACCTCAACTTTGGGAAGCGGGGTCTCCAAACATCTTCCCTGCACATACGTGCATCAGGGCTCAGGACATCTTCAGTCCTCATCTTGGTGTTGTAATACTGGTCATCCTTGTGCAGCTTGTCCAGGAACTGCACACGCAGATCCCTGTGCAGCCAGTGCTGATTCCTGTTGGCTGCTTTCTTTCTCTTGGCTGCAGGCCCATCCCGTCTGTCTGGACTTGCTACTTCCTCTCGGAGTCCTGCTGCTGGCCATGCTGGTCTTCACTCTGGCGGGCCTTCCATGATAGGGCTGTTCCATTGTGTTTGCCCGGAGCAAATTCTGCTCACCTGGATAGAGTACAAGGAATGCTCATCAAACTCCTGCTGGGACACGGGTTGCAGGCAGTAGTCACTAAGAGTGACTAAGAGTCCACTGCTAGATGAAACATGGCCTGAACATTGTCAGGATCAAGGCCTTCCACCTTCCCATAGAAGTGTCAATGAGGGCCAGAAAGGACCACCACAGCGCCTCCAGACACTAGCCCTTCAGTTTGGTCTTCCTTATCCTTCTCTTGCTCCCCATCTGGCTTTGGTGGGCTGTAGTAGCCACTGGAGGCAAGGCCTGGGCCTTGGTCAGGTTGACACCCAGCCCTAATTCCTTGGGCCTAAGAGTTTACACATGGCAGCACCACTTGATTCAAAATTCAGCCAATGGCCTCACCAGATTTCCAGCTCATGCCCTGCAGCACCGCCAGCCCACCAGCCCGTAAGCCTGTAAAGAGACTGCCTCATAATCAGCCTCTGGCACTGTCAACCAGGGTTCACTGTCTACCATTTTCCCATTGAGGGTGCATCCTTTCTGGATCATGGAGATAGCGAGCATGGGGCCAACACTCGCATTATTACCTCTCTCCTTTAGAGACATCTTGGTTTCCTCATAGAGCTCCTTCTCAGCCTGGGACAGTGCCCTCTGTGAATGGCCCAGGGGTCTGGGCCAAGGGCTACCTGCAGTAGCCATCCTGGATTAACGGGATGACCAGTCCCTTGGGGAATACTGGGCGGTTCACACTCTGCAGCTCCCTTCCTTCCACAGTCTCAAGAAATCCTTTTCCTCTAGAGCTGTCCCTGCACCACCTCCCTGATTTGCCAGCTGCCTCTGCACAGAGGCATGAAGCTGAATGACACTGGGGTAGCAGAAGGGGCAGCTGACTACAAAACGCCCATCTACAGTATCCACCTGTCACCAAAAAATGGCCGGTCACAGAGTCAGATGTGGAAAAGCGCAAAGGACTGCCTGGAGATCCACAGGGTCCAGCTGAAGACTTAGAGCTCACTGAGTGTCCTGACCAAGTCCTCATCAGGAGGCCAAAGTGTCGGCACTTGAAGACTGAAGAGTGTGCTGGAAGCCAGGAGATGATGTCCAAGATGAAGGTGAAGAGCAGAGCTCCTCTGAAGAAACAGAAGTAAGTCTTCCTTCTTTGTTTCCCCTTTTACTCCATTCAGATAGCAAGCCGATTGGTTGGTGTCACTCACACCCTGGGTGGGGCTTCTGTCTTTAGTAAATCCTCTCAGCCACACCCAGAACTGTGCTGATCGAATTTAGTTGGGTATTTCTTACTGAAATTGACACAGTCAGTTAACTATCACAATATGCCATGTTTATTATTTCAAAAGATTCAGCTATTGTCTTAGTTACTTTTCTCATTGCTGAGACAAAATACCTAACACTCATAGATTGTCTTTTTTTGTTTTGGTTTTTTTCTGGTACTGGGAATTGAACTCACGACCTTGTGCTTGCCAGGCAGGTGCTGTGCCGCTGAGCTAAATCCCTAGCTCCTTAACAATCACAATTAAAAGAGGAAAAGTTTACTTAGCTCACAGTGTTTATTTATTTATTTATTTATTTATTTATTTATTTATTTATTGTCTTTTTGAGACAGGTTCTCAATATACAGCTCAGGCTGGCCTTGAGCTCACTTTGTAGCCCAGGCTGGTCTCAAACTCACAACGATCCTCTTGCCTCAGCCTCCTGGGTGCTGGGATTACAGGGGTGCGCCACCATGCCTGGCAACTCACAGTGTTTAGAGGTTTCAGTCCATAGGCAGCTGGCTCCAAGGCATGGCAGAGGGGCATTACAGAGGAGAAACAGTTCTTGGCAGGCAGAAGACAGCAACAGCAACTGACAAGCTTCAGAATTGATTTTAAATATTGATTTTGTGCAATGTTAGTGAAGATATCTCTTAATTTATATAGCAAGATCAAGAGGGTCAGTGTTGCAAAGTATTTTGTGTGAAGTACTGTTACATTTCCAGGTCTTGGCAAATTAAACCCATTTGACTTCTTTTCCTTTTTTTGGTGCTGCTGGTGATTAAACCCAAGGCCTCAGGCCAGGAGTGGTGGCACATGCCTGTAATTCCAGCACTTAGGAGGCTGAGACAGGAGGATTGCTGTGAGTTAGAGGCCAGCCTGGGCTACAAAGTGAGTTCAAGGCCAGACTGAACCACATAGTGAGACCCTGTCTCAAAAAAGAAAAACAAAACAAAACAAAACCCCAAGGCCTTGAGCATTCTAGACAAGCATACTACCGCTTAGCTACACCCCCAGCCCAAAGGCATTTGGAGCCGAAGTCCGATCCAACATTTCCTAGTTGTGAATGAGGAAAACAAGGCTTTGAGGAAATAAAAGGCCCACTGCACTCCACAAAGCCATATACGGAACAGATCAAGATAATCTTGCAGAGTGGACACTGCAGTTCTCTCCCTTGTTGCCATGTGTCCACTCATAAACCAGGCTTGTGTGACTCACCTTGAGGGGCAGGAGCAGAGGAGCCCAGAGTGGCGTCCAAGTTTCTGTGTTGGTTAGTGAGGAACTATGTTGGCATTCACCAAAACTGAGAATGCTAATTCCAAGCACAGATTCACTCTACCTTGGCACAAGTTAATGTATAGAATTAAGGGTTTCCAGCCAGGTGTGGTGGCACACACTTAAAACCTTGGCTCCTTGTGAGGCTGAGGTAGGAGGATCACAGGTTCAAGCACAGCCTGGACTATGTAGTATGACATAAGGTGACCCTGCCTCAAAAAATTCAAAAACTGGCCAGGCGTGGTGTGGCACACCTATAATCCCAGCACTCAGGAGACTGAGGCAGGAGGATCGTTGCAAGTTCGAGACCAGCCTGGGCTACAAAGTGCGCTCAAGTCCAGCCTGAACTGCATAGCAAGACCCTGTCTCAAAAAAGACAAAAAAAAATTTCAAAAACCTACATAAATAAGGGCATGGATGTAGCTCAGTGAGAGGGTACTTGCCTAGCATATGTGTTATGGTTTGTGTCTTCATGACCCCCCAAATCCTCATGCAGTCATGGGACAAGCTTCTAGAGTTTATGATCTGATTCATGGTCCAATGTTGGAATTATGGATGTGAATGCTGTGCCTGCCCTGGGGCGGGTAGTGTCAGACAATCTAAGGGAGGGAAAGAGGCTGCTTGCCTCTGCTCATCCCCTTTGCTCTTCTTGATTCTTGCTGCTTTTGCTGTCTTCCACTGCCATGAACTGTTGCCCTCTGTCGTGTGCCACTCTGCCTTGGAGCCAGCCAAGTATGGACTGAAACCTCCACAGACTGTGAGCTAAATAAACCTTTCCTTCCTTAATTCTGGGTGTCAGGTATTTTGTCTCAGCAATGAGAGAAAAGTAACTAAGACAATATGTAAGGCCCGGGTTCAATTCCTAGCTCCTAAAATAAAATAAAATAAAATGGTTAAGATGGCAAATTTTATATTATGTATATTTTACTACAATGAAAGTTCGTAAAAGGTGTTCCTTATCTAGCTCACCCCTTTCTACTTATCATTCAAATTAGAGCTTCCTCTCTTAGCTTCTCTAGGGAGTGAGTGAAGAGCTGTACCTTAAAGATATGAAAATATGAACAAAAGGCATATTATTTGTTTTCAGAGAGAGTTTGAGAAGAATAATATAATTAATATAATATCTATTATACATTATATAATAGATATTATATCTACAATATACAGCATATTATATATGTTAACATATAATTATATTTATATTAACATATAATTATAATGTATTATATTAATATATCTTAGTATATCAATAATTAATCAGTTCAGCAAATCTTTATTATTTTTCCTGCCATAAGACAAGGTTGTTTTCCTTTTTTTTTTGGTACCAGGAATTGAACTCAGGACCTTGTGCTTGCCAGGTAGGTGCTTGTGCCGCTGAGCTATACCCCCAGCCCCCAAGACAAGGTTGTTTTCAAGCCCTTGATTCTCCAAGTGCAGTCTCCAGATCAACATTTCCTGGGATGTGTAGAAATACACATCCTTGGAGCCCATCTCAGACATGCTGAATCAGAAATGATGAGCCTGGCATCCAGCAATATGTCTTTTTACCACTTTTTCAGATCATTCTGACGCATGCTCATCTTGGAGAACGACTATCTAGACAGTGAATATACAGTAGTAAAAAAAAAAAAAAAGGCCAAAGTGCCTGTCTTCTTCCAGAAACAATAGACAAATAGATAAAACTTTATTTTTAGGCGAAATTAAGTGTTGTCAGAGAAATTCTAAGAGGAATGAGCACAGAAGTCATGTAAAACAGAGTATGAAAATGGGCCCCACCGGTTACTAGTCTTTAAAAATCTGTTGGGTTTTTTTTTTTTTTTTTCATCTGCTAAAATGGAAATAACCATACTATTAACCTTACAGGTTTACTCTGAAAATTAAATAAGATACTAATTATAAAATTCTGGCACTATTTCTGTCATAAAATAAGTGCCTAATAAATGTTGGGCCTCCAAGTGAGGGTCACTACCTATGCATATTTAGGAATCACCAGTGTAGGTGTTAATAGTAATGCAAAGGTGGCTCGACTAAGATAGGAGAATAGGTTTTATTTTTAATTTAAAGGTTTATTTTTTGCAGTGCTGGAGATCGAATCCCAGGGCCTCATGCATGCTAGGCAAATGCTCGATCCCTGAGCTACATTCCTAGTCCAAGATCCCCAGGTGATGGGATCTTGGTGGGGAAGGAGTGGGTTGAGAGGTGGTGAGAGAGTGCACAAATGAAGGAGAGTGCAGGAGTTTTTATCTGAACTCAGCTAAAGCTGGAAACTTGGAAGGGGAGGAACAGCGTGCCAATCATCCAGTAGGCCTATGACTAAGGAGGCTCCCAGGGTTTATAGGACTTTCGCTGCTGAAATTGGAAGTCCTGTGGGAAATGGGGCCGAGTTGGTCACTCCATCCGTGGATATGGCCATGGGGGACAAAGCGGGGCAGCAAATACTCTGACCTCTTTCCTCGTGTTCCCTGACCACTTCCTTACAATAACCTTGAAAAGGGACTTACAGTTCCCTGACCCAACAAGCCAGAGGGGAAGAGAGTAAAAGAGGCGGATAAAAGAGTTCAGAGAGATCAGCCCTGCCTGGATACAAACTAGGGAAAATAAAGGACACAGAACTGCCCCAGAGAGATAAAAATAATAACCTACATAGCGGCAAAACTGGGAAGGTAAAGTCTTACTCCAAAGCTTTCATTTTAGTGAATACTTTCTGTCACTTCAAATTAATCCTAGATACACTAAATGTATTAAGATTATCCAAGGACATTCTTTGGTACCTGAGCAGCGTGCAAAACTTTGTGAGTGTTATGTACAAATAGAAGAAAACAGGATCTTGATGGTCCAGGTATGGAGTTAGTGGAGATAATCTCCACGGGGGCCTCGGAGTCTCTCAGAAAAAGACGGGTGCCCAGGACTATTCCCAGATTATTTCAGCTCGGATCACTCACTCCTTAAATTGCCCTCGGTGCGATCATTCAAACTATGGCAAAGGTCAAATGTCAAAGACACCTCCAACATCCCCCAGGATTCAGTTGACAAGACTTCCGGACCCGCCAAACCAACCAGGAGTGTATTAGGTGCGCCGGCCGAAGGCGCTTCGTGATTGGTGGGACGCATTGGGGCGGGGTCTCATCTGGAAAGCCTCCTCTGGATTGGTGCAAATCATGGAGGGTGGAGCCTCCATTCCGGCTGGGCGCGAAAGCTCGAACTGCGCTGCCCGCCCGGGTAGAGAAGGGAGGAGTAGCTCCCCTGAAACAGGGGGAGCCGAAGACAGCTTCACCCCGAGCAGAACGCAGGGGAGACGGGCATCATGACAGGCGAGGTGGGTTCGGAAGTGAGTTTACGCCCACGCTCCCTTCCGGGTCTGCAGAGCCGCACCGAGGGGTGGGACTGGGTCGCGCGGAGCTGGGCGCGGGGTGGACGTACTGCAGCTCCCGCCGAGCGCCGCGCGGGCCTCGGCTCGGCGGGATGGGCCCGCGGCCTCGCGTGGGGT